AACAGAAAATACAGTTGAGTGAAACTTTGAAAAGAAATAGTTCTTCTTTTTCATTTGGAGACGTACGAAATTTATAAGAGGGGATACGCAAACTATAACCTCCTAATATGAAGTAGCAAGTGTGAGCAAGTAGGTTCCTTGTTTAATTTGTTGCTTTGGTATTTATTGACTTTGCAAGCTACTACGTATATATTTTGTTATTTTGCCGCTTTAGTCCTTGTACAAAGTATTGATGCATTTGCTTTTGTCTCTATTTCAAGGTCTACGTTATTATACGTTCGTAATAGATCTCAACCATCAGAGGAGATTTATAAGTAGTTAGGAAGAATACGATATCTTTTAAATTCTTAGCATTATACTTTTTAGGAAAACAACATTTAGTACTACGTGTGCATTTGTATATTGTTGCTTTATTAACGCATAAGTCTATACAGAGTAGGACATTTCCCGTGCCTTCTCCCTGAAAATAGGGAGCGCTCAAGAAAATTATCCTCGAATGTAAGTGCTACAAAAGGAAACGAAGCCCGTATGAGACCTTTTAGCCCATATAAAAGCCCATGACCTGCAAAGTAAATGTGTATGCACACATCCATATATCTACACAAATCGAAGTAAATGTATTCCTAAATTATATTATTGGGCATCCATCTGCTTGCACAGCCCAATTAAACGTAGGGCTTATGGGCTATTATTAAATCCAACATTGATAACATTTTATTACATCTGCCTATAATAGGCCCCCCAAGAACTAACCCAACGTAGGTGAATGTCAACTTCGAAGCAGGGAGTTCACAACTACAACATTTAGGGGCTGTTTAGTTGTATGTTTTTACCATGTAAAAGGATGGAAAGTGTTAAAAAGTGGGTCCTGATGTCAGCTTTCATCACTTTTAATTGTTTGTTTGTAGTTGTGAAAATAGTGTAAAGTGATTTCATATGCTGATGTGGCTTGTAAAGTGATTTCATAAAAAAAGACATGATTTTAGGAGAAAGCTGACATTGAAGTTAGAAAAAAATAATAAATAATAATTTCAACCAATATGATCATTTGGGTAGGGACCACTTTTTACACTTTCCAAACAAACAATTAATATTACATTTGCAAACCAAACAAGCAATTTATGATTCCAATGGAATCAAAAACAAACAAAGAAAAGTATACAAGTGAAATTGGTGAGGTGGACAACAACTTTCCAAGTTGTGTCATAAATACACAATTTTACCAACAACAACCAAACAGCCCCTTAAGCGTTGCTGTATTTTTCAGATGAATCATGAGATCTACATACATATCACACGTCATGCACAGAAAAAGTACTAACAGTCTGATAGTCTTCTGCCACGTAGAGAATATTTAGTAGGGCCCCGTGGAATTACTAAGGGGCTGTTTGGATGCCTTTAGGAAACTAGAGTATTTATAACACAAAATAGAAAGTGGTTATCCACCTCACCACTTTCCATTCGAATGTTTACATTGTTTGGTTAGTAATATTTGTGAATCCTAAAATAATAGTATTATATTGTTTGGATAGTATAATGTAAACTAGAGTATTTATGACACAAAATGGAAAGTGATTATCCACCTCACCACTTTCTACAATGTTTTGACTTTATTATTATTATTTTCCAACAAAATCACTCCTAATTTTGGTGATTTTGCTTTCGGTGACACCTCATCAAAAGGTGTAAGCTTTTCATGTAAAAGAGAATTTAAACAAACAATGTAAAGTGATGAAAGCTGACATTGGGACCCATTTTTTTTTCACTTTCCATCCTTTTACATGGTAAAAACATACAAACAAACAGCCCCTAAGGGGGCGTTTGGTTGCCTCTTTTAGAGGGGAAAATGAGTTAAAAGCCTGTCAAAAGTGTCAGTTTTGACAGACTTTCTTACAAAAACGTCTCTTTTAGAAACCCATTTTTCTTGAAATTTTTTACAAGAAAACCTGTCAAAACTGACACTTTTGACAGACTTTCCCCTTCCCCCTTATGCAAACAAACAGCCCCTAAGTCAGTCAGTCTAAAGCTGAGCATTAGGTCATTTCACTCTTGTTTTTGTCTGTATAGTTTGTAACTCTCACAGTCTCACTTTAGAAACCCCTTTTATTTCCAGAGATGGCAAATGAATAAAATAACCAAATTATAATAATTGTGATATGTTGCCGTCAAGATTTGGGCTTTCGATTAATGCTCTCCTCTTAACGCTGAAATTTGTCTAAAATCATAATATCAAATATTTATTCTCAACAGAAGCTCCAAGTCTCATCTTGTCCCGTGTGGTTACATAGTTACATTTTATATTTTGACATCCTGACTTTTCAAGAAAACGATTAAATGACTTAAATAAATTTATTATGTTCAACTTCCAAATCTGTTAACCCCTAACCCAAATCCCTAACCCAAATCCCTAACCCAAATCCTTTGTTTTGAATTATAGCTTTTGGATGTCACATTAAAAGAAGAAGTTGGTTAGAGGTTGGTTCTTATGGGGCTAAATTTGCGTTTGCGCAAATTGGATAGTAAGTTACAAGTCACGAGTAAATGCGGACTCTGAAAATTTGTCATTACTTATTTTCTACTAATGAAAGTGCGAGGGGGTTACATATACATATACACACATACCAAACGGACTGGTTGTGTCTCTCTACATTGTTTGCTAGTGTATTGCTGAGTGTTTTTAGATCGTTATAATTCGTATCATCAACATATTCAAATTATCGTTTACGATTTAAATGTCTATCACACGTTAACAACACACCAATCAATGTAATGAAAGATCTCTCTTTATTCATATAATCTTATCTCCGCACAATGACAAGCACTCTAGCTCATATCATTATAATTCTTATCATCAACATGTTCAAATTATCGTTGAAAATTTGAATGCCTATCACGTTAACAACACACCAATCGATATAACGAAAGATCTCCCTTTATTCATATAATCCATCTCCACATGATGACAAAAGCACTTTAATTACATGCATCGTGATCATTAGTTTATTGCCCAATGCAAGTGCATCTTCATTAATTGAAAACCATTTTTACCTCTAGATTTCTCCAAATGATAAAATAATAGTTAAGTTTCAGTTGCAAACTTACTCGTTATAAGAAAACATCTACGACTTTTCTTTAAAGAAACCTTTCCATTTATATCAATAGCTAGCTAGCATCAATTGACTTCCATCGATCTCTTTCATGTATATATGGGTCAATATTAGGTAAATAACAATTTTGGCGCACCAAACACCAGACATATCTCATTTGATTCTAGTAATTTGATATAACCATTAGCTCTTGGATATATCAACCCAACCGTTGTGGGGAAAATTTGAAGCTATAATCTTACACTCAAAAGCTCTACCAATCTATAATTTTACACAATAAATAAATAAAATTATACGTTATTATAAGATTACATCTTAGACAATGATAGTGATATGTTCATTATCGTTGCACCTGTAACAATTATCTCTCTCTCCACCACGTCAACCTATTTAATCCCACAAAGAGTTCAACCTCTTCCATCTCGCGTGCGTGCAGCTTAACTAGTGTCAACAACAAAATGCACCAAATCCTCCTCCTCCTCCTCCTCGCATCCTTAACATCCTCCTCCTCCTCCTCCAAAGTTCCCGCCGTTATCGTGTTCGGCGACTCAACGGTCGACACGGGCAACAATAACGTCATCAAAACGGTGTTGAAGAGCAACTTGAAGCGGATTAATAAAAGTAACAACGGTCCGTAAGTTTAGTTTTCAGTCCATGAGAAAAGATCCCTCAATCTACGGAGACAAGTTAAAAATATAAATTATAGCCATCAACCACCGTCACAACTTCAAAGTTTTTATGCACGAACGCAGACTTCAAGACTATTATTCAATATTATGTTTGTTTGCGGTTTTTTTTTTTCTAACTGTCAACACATAACTTACTCTTCCGACCCTTAAAATTAATTTTGAACTTCTGAGTCAAGGAGCTCGATCTGTTGAAATAACTAGGTACTTGACTACCATAACTTCAAGATCAGCATGCTACTTGTTGAAGTCGGACCCGGATCCTCTCCTCATGAGGAGAGGTCCTCATATCTCCTCATGAGGAGAGAGGCAGAGATAGAGAGGAGAGAGAGTGAGGTTGAGAGAGAGAAAAACCTCACTCTCTCTCCTCAATATCTCTCTCTCTCCTCATGCGGAGATACGAGGACTCTCCTCCTCATGAGGAGAGGATCCTGGTTGAAGTCAATAAGCCTGCAACAAGAGCAGGGGGTCAATACCACCCGCGGGTGGGACTCATGGTCAGCAGCTCTCCATGGGGGAGTGTATCTCTCCAGGCTATTGCCCGTTGTTGGTCAGGAGTTCGAATCCTCGTAGCCGCATTCACCTGGTTTCCCTTGGTTTAAGGGTGGGGACGGAAACCCGGGGTTTTATTGGTCACCAAATCCAGCTCAGCCCGTTGTATGCTCACCAGTTCGCGTCCCAGTGGTCCCCACGCTGCTCGCCCGCGCTCTGCCCGTGGGGATGAGCCCCTGGTATTAAGGGTAGCTCCTTGTAGATGTGAAGGGAACAAGGGGAATCGAACCAGGGCCGCTGGCGGGGCTCCGAAGGAGTTAAACTGAGCTGGGGTGACCAAGTAGAGCAGGGGGTCATTACTGCATGGAGAGTGGGCCCTCATCCACATGGCTCAAGGAAGGGACCATAGTTTTTTTTTTGACAAGTGATAATCATACTATAAGATCTATACTATTCCTTAGTACCACAAATAAACGAATGGGGTCCACAATAACTCACAAATTTTCTTGATAATTTTTAAGAAATATCCCCCACACACTTGCTTGGTGGTAATGCAAAAGTAGTATAGAACTTGTAGTGCAATGATATATTTTTCTTTTCAAAAATTTTTTAATGAACTATATATTTCTAATTACTTTATATTTTTTACAATTGGGCCAATTGGGCCTCCTCTGTTACTACCAAACAAATCTCATTTCACAAGGGCCTGATATTTATGTCTTCTTCTGTCTCAATTCACAATGTGATCCCCCTAAAGAAAGAGAGGTCGAGTACTTCAAAGACTACCAGAAAAAAACTACGGCGATATGTACGAAATACCAATGACTTCCTTGAGAATTATTTCGCCTTGATAACGGGCCGATTCAAGGAATTCACAGTGGATCAATTCGAGGATTTCTTAATTGGGCTGGCCCGTGAATTTGTATCAGAGATCTATGAACCGGGGGCCCGTAAAATTTCGTTCTCCGGCCTCGGTGCAATTGGCTGCTTGCCGCTTGAGAGGACCACAAATGTGTTACGTGACAATGGGTGCATTGAGAAGTACAATAAAGCTGCCAGGGGTTTTAATGTCAAGCTTCAGGCCATGATCAAAGAGCTTTGTGCCAGGTGTCGTGGGCTCAGGCTAAGATATTGTCCAGTTTATGATGGTTTACTCAAGATTATTCAAAATCCATCATCTTTTGGTAAGTTTGGCCCATGGGCTTTATTAGTTTTAGGTCTATTGTGCTTCCTTAACGGTTAGTGGTCATGCACTAAACTATCATAAACTATTAGTATTAGGGATAATATAATGAACATTAAATCCTCAAAAAAAAAAAAAAATACAATATGATATACAAAATATTGGTGAACTCTCAGATCGTTCCTTAAAGTATCAATTTATCAACTTTGACCATCAAACTATGTATATGATTTTGATATACTCATGTCATGAGTCTACAGTCAAATATTTAGAAGATTAATGACATAATAGTATTGTTTTGCACGTCATCATGGTTTTTATAGTTTTCCCCAAACTAAAAAAAATTATTTTTAACCACATTCTCACTTTTTTAAACTACTTTCTCACAGAACTTTTTGCCTTTAACACTGTGAATTAAAATATACTTTTAGATTTCAAAAAAAAAAAAAAAAAAAAAAAA